TAAAAATATATTATTAGAGATAACATTAATTGAAATTTATTTTTAGAGCTGGGAATTATAAAGGCGAAATAGAGAATTTCTCATTTTCATAAATACTTTCTATATCGGCATATTTACTCTACTTTTGATCCTTTCACGTATATACGAGTACAATAAAATCAAATGCTTTTGAATATTTTATTTTAAGTTATTTTTAGTTTTTCTGATAATTTAAAACAAACTTTGTAACATTCTTTTACTAAGAAATAAATGATAATCGCGAGGTTTGTCAGATGAATATTTACAGTGCGGAAACAATTCTTAGTACAACAGGTTAAAGATATAAACCGTATACATTGCACAATAATTATATTTGCAATTCCGCTGATTGATTATGAATAATTGAAAAATACAAATACCGCGTATTCGCATTGGCTTAAAGTGAATGAAAAAGCAGCCACTCTTGCAATGCGATGACTTAAATATACAAATCGTTGTTGATGTAAACATCTCTGAATACGTCAATGATATCAACTATAGCTGAGTCATAACAAGACTGTAAGCTATAACATACAACAGGCCTTTCCCTTCACCAAATGGTATAAAAAATGTGAGGCCTTAAGATATAGACTCGTAACGCGAAGTCCTAAGCTGCAGCTTATTTAGCTATTGTGCAAATACGATTCTGACCAGTGGCCATGGCTTCCGAACTTCGGCATACCTGATCATTCGGAGATTATGAGTGAAAAATTTAGATAATATATTCTTTCAAAAATTATAGTGTAAAATAGTGTGTTAGAAAGGCTAAATCACATTACATCAGGCTCCATTTTCTGAAATTTTACACAACACTTTTCGTTTTTTCCTTAGTGAAGAATTACAAATGTTATTAAAAGTTATTTTTTAAATATCATCATTATGAAAAGGGCACATAAAATATAAATAAAATGTTTAACATTCCTTGTAAATTTTCTTCACAAAACACTTTTACAAGTCTTGTCATTGGAAATCGGGAGAGTGACTTAGGGGGTTAAGCGAACTTACGATAACAAGGTGTCAGATTGCAGAACGTTACCGTTGGCAACTGGGATATTTTACTCTCTGACGTTACAAAACTGACCGCTGCGTGATGGTATGCCCAGGTCCTTTGTCTCAAAATCCTATTGGATAACAAAACCCAACCGTCTGAACAAAGTCTACACGTGTCTACTTGTTCTTTCTACTACAAAAATACGTTTTAATCATTAATATTCTCTAATTCATATCGTTGAAGTTTCGGATAATTCCCTATTTTAAGCATCATATATGAAGAATTATATTTTAACACGTGAATTGATAAGGAACAAAACTTGAGAATTTATCGATATAGTAAGGGGCACAGAAAACTTTAACAGTATGGAAATTAATGGAAGAGAATTAAGCAAATAAAATAGTAATTATTAGTATGCTTAAAATGCTTGCACGCTACTTACCATTAGAGTGTGATAGAGTTTGCGCTTTATAGCACACGAGTTCCACAAATTTGAACTGTTTCGGAGTAAATCTTGAAAAGTTTGAGTTAAAATGTAAGTAATTAATGGCTGTAAATTAAAATANTTCTGAAATTTTACACAACACTTTTCGTTTTTTCCTTAGTGAAGAATTACAAATGTTATTAAAAGTTATTTTTTAAATATCATCATTATGAAAAGGGCACATAAAATATAAATAAAATGTTTAACATTCCTTGTAAATTTTCTTCACAAAACACTTTTACAAGTCTTGTCATTGGAAATCGGGAGAGTGACTTAGGGGTTTAAGCGAACTTACGATAACAAGGTGTCAGATTGCAGAACGTTACCGTTGGCAACTGGGATATTTTACTCTCTGACGTTACAAAACTGACCGCTGCGTGATGGTATGCCCAGGTCCTTTGTCTCAAAATCCTATTGGATAACAAAACCCAACCGTCTGAACAAAGTCTACACGTGTCTACTTGTTCTTTCTACTACAAAAATACGTTTTAATCATTAATATTCTCTAATTCATATCGTTGAAGTTTCGGATAATTCCCTATTTTAAGCATCATATATGAAGAATTATATTTTAACACGTGAATTGATAAGGAACAAAACTTGAGAATTTATCGATATAGTAAGGGGCACAGAAAACTTTAACAGTATGGAAATTAATGGAAGAGAATTAAGCAAATAAAATAGTAATTATTAGTATGCTTAAAATGCTTGCACGCTACTTACCATTAGAGTGTGATAGAGTTTGCGCTTTATAGCACACGAGTTCCACAAATTTGAACTGTTTCGGAGTAAATCTTGAAAAGTTTGAGTTAAAATGTAAGTAATTAATGGCTGTAAATTAAAATATTATATCATATTATTAATAAAATATTAATAATTCATTTAAAATTTATATATTTTGGTAGTATTCAAAAGCAAAACTCTTCCTGGATTATTAGAGCTTTCGAATATATTAATGCAAAATCAGTACTTACAATTAAGCCGTGTTAACATAAATTTATAAAATTAAGCTTAAATTCATAAACACAGATATAAAATTTTTGATTAATCATATTATTTATCAAAATTAAAAAAAAGCTGACTCATCGTCCAGTAATTTTTTTATTGATGATAATAGAAAATATAATAACTTTAAAAGTATTTATTACGATATTTATTTTATCTTTAAAAATATTTTAATTCTAAAAATTGTTTTCTATAGAAAAATTTAGAAAATTTTATCATCCAAAGTTTATCAGTAATTTAAATTTTTATTATTTTAATTCCGGAAGCTATTGTCAGAATCATGTTATATGGTATAATATACATTACGTAACAATATACAACATATTATGCCCTATACTTAAGTATACAAAAAGTATTGTATTGGTATATTACACAATATATATTTACATATTGTATAACAGATGAGTTCAGGATATGATTTAGATCAAATATGGCCATACGTTATAACATATAAAAAGGTTCTCTTCATTGTTGATTTACGTATGGAGCTTAAGAGACGTTCGAGAAATCTCACCTTAAATGCTTATTTTTTAGGGAACTTCCCTAGATTTCCGTTTAGAGCCACATTATACGTAAATCCTAACCTGTTCCCCTCAATCAAATAATATATTTAACAATGCGAATCCTTAAATTATATCGTCATAGCATGAGGTCTGTAGTTTGTTATAAGTAAATCCAGTCCTGATGAAGTCGTTAAAACTTACGTTTTATATAAAATACGTTAGAATATGAGATAAATATAAACTCTAGGATATCAGTTAGGTCAATATTAATCTGAATAAGATTATCATGATCCAAATTAGGCCCCTGTATACACATATCATCATCATAAACAAACGGTTTCAACGGATCTTGCACTAAAAATATATTTGGATTTATAGATAAACTGACAATATCTAGTAAAGTATTGATATTCTATATCTTCAAAATATAAAGTACAAAGATCCTTTTACTTTAAGAAATTAATACACATTAATTTTAGGAGAATTCATTCACTTCCTCCACTTAGATATTCATAAGAATGAACTGTATTCACTGTATAAAATGATGGAAAGTCTTGCATAAGTGACTTTTTCCTATATCAAATTAAAGTATTTACATTTTAATTCAATAATTCATTCTAGAAATCATTTCCTCTATATTGAAATAATTGAATTTTTTAATCTTAAGGTACATGTTTTTAATATCGTATCATTTCCTCTATTAACTGAAAAAATAATAATACATTTATATGCATCAGCTTCCTTTTATAAAAATTCTCTTACATTCAACATCATTTTATTTGATATTAAAAAAAATATATTTATTCTTAAATATTTTTTATTGATAAAAATCTTTTAAAATGATACTTTTGTTCTATTTTTTATCNCAAGGTATACCTGTATTTTTATCGTAAATAAACTTACATTAAGAAGAAAAATACAGAAACAAAAGAATGTAGTCCTTCCAAATACTGAGCTTCTGTGTATTTTATCTTATTTATCAGTTTAAACTTGCAATCAAATTAAGTAAAACTGCAAAAGCTGAATTTTCTCTGATTGGAGTTGTAAATTTTTTATTTTAGAGCCAGAACACACAGATATTTTCAAACAAAATTTGGTGCAGAATTCCATACCAATGCACAGATGCATATTAATTGCGAGGAAGTTGGGTGGTTGGGCTAATTTGTGTGTTTCAAAGATGAATTTAGCAGTAAAATTTAGTTACGTGAAGGCCATTTGTTGGTCTCATTTCAATCCACGTATTGTCATGTTCTGTACCAAAGTAATTCAGTGTGAAAATATTCATCTGCGTGTTCCAGCCCTTAGACATTTATAATCTATAATCTATTTTTAAAGAATACTTCAATTTCAGACAAAAAAGTTTCCTTTCAATCTAAACTATAAACCGCTTCATTTTCTTCGTTGTCATTCTGTGCAAAACGATCCGGAAGACTGCAAGACTCAAGTGTGGAAAGCTGTCTTTGAACCAGACATTATCAGTCCAGGTACACATTTTTCATGTTTAAAAAACAAATTTTTAATCTAATTAATTAATTAATTAATTTTAAAAAAATAAGAAAAACAAGAAAATCTTACCCAAAATGTAAATGAAAGAAGCCATCTTCTGGTAAGTTGTAAAAGAAAAGTCCCGAATTCGTAAGTTTTGAATGAAAACAGAAGAAATCCCGAGATAATTTCCTCTTGAAATTCTATGATTTTTTCTTTTCTTTTTTTAACAAAATTACTTTCCTGAAAACCACAACGTTTCAACTTCTGCGAAGTGATGAAATCAGTTGTTATGCTCCATTTTCTGAAATTTTACACAACACTTTTCGTTTTTTCCTTAGTGAAGAATTACAAATGTTATTAAAAGTTATTTTTTAAATATCATCATTATGAAAAGGGCACATAAAATATAAATAAAATGTTTAACATTCCTTGTAAATTTTCTTCACAAAACACTTTTACAAGTCTTGTCATTGGAAATCGGGAGAGTGACTTAGGGGTTTAAGCGAACTTACGATAACAAGGTGTCAGATTGCAGAACGTTACCGTTGGCAACTGGGATATTTTACTCTCTGACGTTACAAAACTGACCGCTGCGTGATGGTATGCCCAGGTCCTTTGTCTCAAAATCCTATTGGATAACAAAACCCAACCGTCTGAACAAAGTCTACACGTGTCTACTTGTTCTTTCTACTACAAAAATACGTTTTAATCATTAATATTCTCTAATTCATATCGTTGAAGTTTCGGATAATTCCCTATTTTAAGCATCATATATGAAGAATTATATTTTAACACGTGAATTGATAAGGAACAAAACTTGAGAATTTATCGATATAGTAAGGGGCACAGAAAACTTTAACAGTATGGAAATTAATGGAAGAGAATTAAGCAAATAAAATAGTAATTATTAGTATGCTTAAAATGCTTGCACGCTACTTACCATTAGAGTGTGATAGAGTTTGCGCTTTATAGCACACGAGTTCCACAAATTTGAACTGTTTCGGAGTAAATCTTGAAAAGTTTGAGTTAAAATGTAAGTAATTAATGGCTGTAAATTAAAATATTATATCATATTATTAATAAAATATTAATAATTCATTTAAAATTTATATATTTTGGTAGTATTCAAAAGCAAAACTCTTCCTGGATTATTAGAGCTTTCGAATATATTAATGCAAAATCAGTACTTACAATTAAGCCGTGTTAACATAAATTTATAAAATTAAGCTTAAATTCATAAACACAGATATAAAATTTTTGATTAATCATATTATTTATCAAAATTAAAAAAAAGCTGACTCATCGTCCAGTAATTTTTTTATTGATGATAATAGAAAATATAATAACTTTAAAAGTATTTATTACGATATTTATTTTATCTTTAAAAATATTTTAATTCTAAAAATTGTTTTCTATAGAAAAATTTAGAAAATTTTATCATCCAAAGTTTATCAGTAATTTAAATTTTTATTATTTTAATTCCGGAAGCTATTGTCAGAATCATGTTATATGGTATAATATACATTACGTAACAATATACAACATATTATGCCCTATACTTAAGTATACAAAAAGTATTGTATTGGTATATTACACAATATATATTTACATATTGTATAACAGATGAGTTCAGGATATGATTTAGATCAAATATGGCCATACGTTATAACATATAAAAAGGTTCTCTTCATTGTTGATTTACGTATGGAGCTTAAGAGACGTTCGAGAAATCTCACCTTAAATGCTTATTTTTTAGGGGACTTCCCTAGATTTCCGTTTAGAGCCACATTATACGTAAATCCTAACCTGTTCCCCTCAATCAAATAATATATTTAACAATGCGAATCCTTAAATTATATCGTCATAGCATGAGGTCTGTAGTTTGTTATAAGTAAATCCAGTCCTGATGAAGTCGTTAAAACTTACGTTTTATATAAAATACGTTAGAATATGAGATAAATATAAACTCTAGGATATCAGTTAGGTCAATATTAATCTGAATAAGATTATCATGATCCAAATTAGGCCCCTGTATACACATATCATCATCATAAACAAACGGTTTCAACGGATCTTGCACTAAAAATATATTTGGATTTATAGATAAACTGACAATATCTAGTAAAGTATTGATATTCTATATCTTCAAAATATAAAGTACAAAGATCCTTTTACTTTAAGAAATTAATACACATTAATTTTAGGAGAATTCATTCACTTCCTCCACTTAGATATTCATAAGAATGAACTGTATTCACTGTATAAAATGATGGAAAGTCTTGCATAAGTGACTTTTTCCTATATCAAATTAAAGTATTTACATTTTAATTCAATAATTCATTCTAGAAATCATTTCCTCTATATTGAAATAATTGAATTTTTTAATCTTAAGGTACATGTTTTTAATATCGTATCATTTCCTCTATTAACTGAAAAAATAATAATACATTTATATGCATCAGCTTCCTTTTATAAAAATTCTCTTACATTCAACATCATTTTATTTGATATTAAAAAAAATATATTTATTCTTAAATATTTTTTATTGATAAAAATCTTTTAAAATGATACTTTTGTTCTACTTTTTATCGTGATTATTATTAATTATTTTTAATAAAACAATTAAAATTACTATTCGACAAACGTCTCATTTTATTTTTTAAATTCATTTCGATGTTTACTCTGTGATGCAACGTACAGGCTTGCCCAAAAGTTATTTAACTATTGTAATTTATTTTTAAAGCTTATTTTACTGTTGACTAAATAACATACAGAATGGCCCAAAAGTCAATTAAATATTATGATTTAGTTCACAAGTTTTTTAACTGAAATACACTAAACATAGTTAACTGAATTTTGGGACACTTGTCTAGTGTAATTATCTTGTTGTACTGTAATGTATGCAGCCATAATATGTAATTTATACGGTAACGTATGCGGTTTTATGTGTTAAGTTATAGTTGAATTGTTTTTTTTTTACCTCTCTTGGATTAGGGGACTGACTAAAGTCCATTGTAGTAATTGCTGGGATGACTCTAGAAGTGCCTGAGAGAGATTACGATGAGGTAGAGAAAAATCTAGTTTTATAACTTATTTTATATAAAAGACTAAATTTCCAGACCCCTCTTGTCTAGGGCACGGATTAGACAACCCCGATTACTCAGGTGCAATTGTAGGTGTTCCGCTTAAACTTGCACCTGAGTAACTGCATGTATCTGTTGTGATTTTAGTTAAAATTGCTGTGTGCACAGTCAACAATTGTGTATATGCAGCTGTAATGTTATACTGTAACGTAACGTAAGCGCAAATGTATACACAATAGACACAAGATGAAGTTCATTGTTATGTTCGTGGCACGTAATATAACGCTTTAATTGTTACGACATTGCTTATACAAAAGTCATATCACTTAATTTACAAAATTTAGGATCCGTTTTAAGAATATTTNTTATTACTAAACGTTCACAGCTTGCTAATTTTCTTGAAAAACTTGCTGAATATTGCGCGCAGATTGCGTTCGGTTAATTGACTTTTGAGCCACCCTTTATTGAAATGAATGAAAGTTTATATATAAAACTAAAAATTAATTAAATTAATAATCAGATTTAATAAATTTAATAAGATTTATAATAATATATTTAAGCGAAAAATAAATTTTTCAAAAGTTATCACGCGAGTTTATCTGTCTGTACGACTACAATTAAGAGTAACAGGTGTTAGTTGTCAGGTTAAAATTTATTGCAAATTAAACTTGAATAAATTTCAAACTAAATGTATATAATTTCATTCTCTAGCCACAACAATAAATACATTTAATAATCAAATTTTAAGTGTAACTAATGGAAAAATTGAAATTTTAAAATGTAATCTACAGTTTACTGAAATTCGATACAATTCAATACACCCAACCTGTCAAGAACACACATGGAGTATTATTTTTCTTGAAATAAAACAGTTTTCATACTATTATTTTCATATAAAAATAAATTTTATATTACTATTAAACACTTTTTTTTTTATTTATTTATTAGGAACCATTCAAACCAAGTATTTCTAAAATGGGAATTGATTACCAAGTTCGTGAGGTTCCATCCAATATGCGTGTTTGTTGCAGAGGGGGTACTTTAGTTAACTGTAGGAAGGTCAAACAAATAGTAGGGTCAAAGTCGCCCTCCTGCATATTTCCTGCACCTGGCTTTGTTTATACAATTTATTTAACGTGAATTTTCACTATTACATAATTTTTTTTATTATTTATTCCTTATATATTTCCATAACTTGAGAAAATAATTAAATGATTTATTTTGAGAAAAATATATATTTGAACAAGGAAATGCGCTCATTAACCTTAATAATACCATTAAAAACCTACTTTTATCTCGAATTTCTTTCGATGCTTATGAAGTTTTATTACAAGATATCAAGATATAATAAAGTTTTATTATTCTAAAGGCCATAAAAAATTTGTTACAAATATTTTTATGGGAAATATTCATGATGTTTAATTATAATTAATTTTGTTTAATTAACATAACACGCCATCAAATTAATTAGCATAATATTGTTTTCAATCTTATGAAGCAAACGAGTGAATGGGTTTCACTTATTCCTGCATTGAAATTATAATTAAATCTCGATATAGTGTTACTCTCATAAAGTGTTAATGAATACCTGTGAATGGATCTTTCACATCAATATTAAATAAAATATTTGTGAATTATTGACTGTATAATTTTGCATTGCAAACGACACTGATTTTTAAATTTAAAATTAAACTTTTCGGTTCAGACATCACTATAATGAACTCTCGATATAATGAAGTCTCAATGGACTGAGCTAGAATCATTCATCGTATCAAGAGCTTATTGTTGATATTTAGCTCACATAAGGATCAAAAAATTGGGGTGATCACTATCTCAAGAGTCTACTTTTCTTTATGTTTTTAGTTTAATATATTCTTCAGTTTCGTGCTATAATCCATTTAGTGTCAATTTAAGAAATAACAGTGGCGCTAAACCAAATTTTCATACAATTTTATTTAATTATACATTTTAATTAAACTTCATTTAGGTTTTTCTAGTTTAAGAGATGAATAAACAATTCTAAAAAGTAACAAACATGTCATTTTAGTAAACAGGACATTGTTGATGACCTGCGATAATTTTGTTTTGTTATTCATTGCATAAATTGTAATTATCAAAATTGAGCAATAATAGGAAACGATTTTTTGTTTATTTTTTTTAATTTAAAAATTGCAACAGTTAGAAACTTGTCCTAAAATAATAAATACATATAATACAGTTTTATTCTTTAATTAATTAATTAATTAAATCTTTAAAATGCACGCGAAAAATAGTCATTTATAGTGTCTGTTATATTGTTTTGTTACAGTAGTCGTCAGCTGTGTACATAATTTTTCGTGTGTATAATTTTGGTGCAGTGAATTGTTGACATTGAACGGTACAGTTTAGTGTCTAGAAACTGGCTATAAAAAAATAAAGAAAAAATAGATTAAATTTTTACTTTAAAAATCATATATCTGTACGCTAAACATAAATATGGAGATTTATAGAAAAAAAATATATTTTCGTTTGACTAAACATATTTTTTTTCTATAAATGTTCTATGCCCTGACAATTTTATTTAATAAATATGGAGATTTTGCAATAAATATAACATTCTAGAAAATAAAACTTAAAAAATATATTTGTAGTTTATATTTTAATTTAAAAATGAAGAAAAATAATTGTTTATACTTTAAGGATTTATATAATTCTAAAGTAAATCAGATTAGCTTGTGCCATTTTTCTTTCCTGGTTGTTATATATAATAGAGGAAAAGTATGGCGATCGATCAAAATTTACCCCCCCCCCCATTTTTACATTTTTTTTGACTCAGAGGACCTTCTAACGTCAAGAAATGCAAAAAAATGGGAGTTTTTTCTGTATGTATGGATGTCAGTGTGTATGTGTTTGTGTGGCACCATTTTCTGTCAAGCTTAATAACTCCCGTGTTTTTTGTCGAAAATTTCTGAAATGTTGCCGGGAAGTTTGTGTATTAAGGTGATTGTTGCTATTAAATTTTGGTGGTTAAAGGTCGACGGAGTGGGGAGATAAACGGGGTTCGTGTGTCGTATCTCTAGTAGGGCCGGACTTAATGACGATTTTTCTCGTTATGAGCATTTACAATTTTTTTACAGAATTCATCCATATTATCAAAATT